GGATTTCTAGAAACAGACTAGAAGGAGTCTTGAAGTTGTATCAAGAGAAATACATAGAAAAGCTTCTTAACAGATTTAATGTTGGAGATGCCAAAATCAGGAACACCCCTTTGGGAACTCACATGAAGCTCTCAAAGAAGCAATCTCCAGAGACAGTTGAAGAAAAGGACCACATGTCAAGAGTACCATATGCATCAGCAGTTGGGAGCTTAATGTATGCCATGGTGTGCACCAGACCTGACATAGCACATGCTGTTGGAGTTGTCAGTCGATTCCTATCGAATCCCGGGAAGAAGCATTGGGAAGGTGTAAAGTGGATATTAAGATATCTGAAGGGTACTTCAGGAATAAATTTGCTCTTCAAAAGACTATTTATTGTTGACTGATGCTGGTGAGCCAGAATACTTCGATGAGGCTATACAGGGGAATGATTCTGTCAAGTGGGAGTTAGCAATGAAGGATGAGATGACATCTCTTCAAAAGAATGGTACTTGGTCGTTAACTGAATTGCCAGAAGGAAAGATGGCTCTACAAAACAAGTGGGTTTACAGGCTGAAGGAAGAATCTGATGGCAGAAAAAGATACAAGGCGAGACTTGTGGTCAAAGGATTTCAGCAGAAACCAGGAATTGACTTCACAGAAATTTTCTCTCCAGTTGTAAAAATGACTACCATCAGAGTCATACTGAGCATTGTTGCTGCAGAGAATCTTCATTTGGAGCAGTTAGATGTTAAAACTGCATTCTTGCATGGAGATTTAGATGAAGATATTTATATGACTCAGCCAGAAGGTTTTAAAGTTTCAGGCAAGGAAAATCTTGTATGCAAGCTTCATAAAAGCTTGTATGGCTTGAAACAAGCACCAAGGCAGTGGTACAAAAAATTTAATGAGTTTATGCAAAACTCAGGATTTAGCAGATGTGACATGGATCATTGCTGTTATGTTAAGAAATATGTTAACAGTTATATTATCCTTGCTCTATATGTTGATGACATGCTAATTGCAGGGCCAAATATGACAGAAATTAACAGGCTAAAGCAGCAATTGACAGACCACTTCGAGATGAAGGATCTTGGTCCAGCTAAACAAATTCTTGGCATGAGGATTTCTAGAAACAGACTAGAAGGAGTCTTGAAGTTGTCTCAAGAGAAATACATAGAAAAGCTTCTTGACAGATTTAATGTTGGAGATGCCAAAATCAGGAACACCCCTTTGGGAACTCACATGAAGCTCTCAAAGAAGCAATCTCCAGAGACAGTTGAAGAAAAGGACCACATGTCAAGAGTACCATATGCATCAGCAGTTGGGAGCTTAATGTATGCCATGGTGTGCACCAGACCTGACATAGCACATGCTGTTGGAGTTGTCAGTCGATTCCTATCGAATCCCGGGAAGAAGCATTGGGAAGGTGTAAAGTGGATATTAAGATATCTGAAGGGTACTTCAGGAATAAATTTGCTCTTCAAAAGAGGTAATTTCACTTTACAAGGGTTCTCTGATGCAGATTTGGGAGGAGATTTGGACACTAGAAAAAGCACCACTGGTTACATTTTCACCTTGGGGAGAACTGCAGTGAGTTGGAAGTCTAAGCTTCAGAATAGAGTTGCTCTCTCAACTACCGAAGCTGAGTACATAGCTATCTCAGAAGCAGCCAAGGAGATGATCTGGCTAAAGAACTTTCTCAGTGAATTAGGGAAAGAACAAAAGAACGCTCCATTGTTCAGTGACAGTCAGAGTGCTATATGTCTTGCGAAGAATCCTGTCTTCCATTCTAGATGCAAGCACATTCAATTAAGATATCATTTCATTAGAGAATTGATAAATGATGAAGAATTATCTCTGCTGAAGATTTCAGGATCAGAAAATCCAGCAGATATGCTAACTAAGACTGTTACAACTGACAAGCTGAGGCTCTGCATTACCTCAGCTGGTCTTCAGGGATAATTGAAGATAAAGAAAGCTGCACTAGGCGAAGGAGCATATGAACTCGATGCTTACAAGGAAGCTAACTAGAACTCAGACTCCAAGTGGGAGAATTGTTAAGTGTGTAGTCTAAGTTCTAAAATTGAAGTAGTCCCACATTGTTTAGTTTAACTTACTTATTAAGTCCCACATCACTTAGTTTGTAATGCTTGCCTCTTCCTTATGCTATATATATAGAGGCACCTTGTAAGGTTTAAGATACACCAAAAACAAATACTCTTAGTATTGTTTATTTCTCTCTTCTATCCTTTTATTCTCTCTTTTAATGCCAGTTGCCTAACATTATATATTTTTAATTGCCCCAATTTGAGTGAAATGGAACATTGTTATCATATGGTTTTTTCTTGGATGATACAAATATTTAAGGTAACGACTCCAACCTACCTTTCTTTATCTTACTTTTTCTATGTGTACAATTTTTAAGTAGTTATACATATTAATAATTTTTTTTTTTTGTTCAGGCTTTCTTGCAATCCTCCCTTTCCTTGAACGAGCTTAAGATTGTTATTCTTGGAACTCAAATTCCAAGGTGGTTCAGTGAACAAAATGTGGGTAGGTCAATAAGCATGGACCTGTCTCCTGTTAAGGAAGACCCAAATTGGATGGGTGTCGCCTGTTGTTCTTTGTTTGTGGCACATGATGATCCTACTAATTTGAATAATAATTTTGGAAGTATAGGATACAATTTTGAAAATATGCAAGTTTTGCATAATTTATATCGGATGCTTCCAATATTTTTAAACAATGATCTGGTCACGGATGAAATAGATCACTTGTTCATGGTTTTTTTCCCTCGGGAAATAATCAGTCTTTATCGAAATGTATATGAAGACAAAATGGGATTTACAACTGGCACGTTTGAACATCCTAAAGGTTTGCATTTGGAGGTGAAAAATTGCGGATATCGTTTGGTATTTAAGGAGGATCTTCAACAATTAAACTTAAACATGATGTTCAGCGAAAATTCCTCATCTAAGAAGTGCAAGCTTTTATCAAGTGATTCGCCATACATCATTCATTGAGCTTATTCACGGAAAGAGTAGAGATTTCTTTTCAACCACAATTACATCAAATAAATTCTTACCCATTGTAGGTAAGATTTAAGCAGTAAAGCACAACTTTTATTATAAGTTTATAGTCATTTATAAATACTTTGCTTTTAGTATCTTATATATTGATGATATATATGATGATGTTTATTTATTATCTTTCCAGAGTAAATGTTACTTGATAACATTGTTAAAAGTGATAGTAAGCATATTTGGTCATGGATTGTTATGAGTTGTAATCTTATACTTGATAACAACTTAAGAAAGCTTGATAAAGAACTTGAATAAGAGAACTAGAATAAATTGAGCTATAGAACTTTCCAAAAGTAGTGTTATTATGAAATAAATAAATAAGACTTCAAGTTGTAGAGAAATTGAAGGACCAATGCTGAGTGTCTAAAAAACTTATACGGGAAGGCTTTCCTGTTTCCAGGGCTTGAACTACCAGTGCCACCAATCTTCACTTTTGGAGAAAAATGAGTTGAATGATTGAAGGCTGGTTCAGTAAGTGACTCTGCATTTGGAACTGAATTAATGGACATTACAGCAAAAACAATTCCATGATTGTTGCTTGCTCTTTAACTGATTAACATCTTCCCTTTTTGGCAGAACTTATTTCAGCTATTGGATTGCAGTCAGTTATAGCTGCTCTTCGGGATGGATTCAAAGGTAATGGTTCAAAAATGAGAAGTTCTAGTGCTTCAAAAAAAGGTGCTTCATTAGTCACTGTTGACAAGGATCTTTAACTAAAGGCACTTGTTAATAAGTGTTGATTTTTTTTTTTATCCAATACTCTCTCTTGTCCATTTAATATGAATCAAACTGGAAGTGAATTCCACTTTGTTGGAACATAAGGTAAAGAAAAATATATAATGTATTTTAAAGAGATTAGAATTATGTAAAAAAGGAAACATTACGTTGAATTATTGCATTTAGTATATGTGTGTTTTCACTCATTGTAGACTCCACTCTGAGGCATCACTCTCGCGTACACACAAGGCTAGCACTGTCAAACAATTAAAGGTACCATATAATTTTTAGTCAATTTCCAATGTCTTAATTAGATGAACAAATTAAAAGATAAATTAACTTAATTGTACAACCACAAGAAAGCTTAAATGTTATTAATTTTGTCAAATACTATAATAGGGTTTTTTTTTTCTTTCTCTTTTTGTTAAAGGAAAATTACAAATTCAACGATAGTAATTTTCTTTTCCTTTTGTGTTTTACAATATTTGCCTCATTTGAGAAATTTGAATTTCAGAAACTCCAAAAAATTCTATATTGTTTTAATTGTTGAATAATTGTCACAAGTTATCCAATAGAGGACATGTTAAGCACAATTTAATACTTTTCTCAGCCATAATCTGAAGCAAAGCTTTGGCATGATTTAAAAGCTTAATAGAGTTCCAAAATAAAAATCAGTATATGCAGAAGGCTGAGATTATAATAATTATTATTATAATAATCTTTAGCTAATTCATAGTTAAAGATTATTTTAAATAAATGTTCCATTCCAAAGCTATTTCATTTGGTATTTTGTAACTGCGTTTTTATTCTTCCTAAGAAAATATTCGGTATAATCCATAGTTAATTATAAAAATTGGAATGAAGATGATAAAACATGCATTGAATGATAAAAGATTGAATTAACAGCAAAACAAAAATACTATAAGGTAAATGCAACAAAGGGTAAGTGTTGAAGCTTTCTATAGCTCATGGAGTACAATTTCAAGATTCTCAAATAAGTAACTGTGTATAAATTGTCTTGCACCCAAATTTACAGGTAAAAATAGGGTTTAAATCAGATTGGGGGAGTGAGGAATCCTGGAACAATTCATGAAGGAGTACAACTTCTGCAATTATTCTCTGCAAGTATATCAATTTTTTATAAGCTATGCTATTCAATTTTATGTTGCAAAAAACCAATACAACTTTTTATGCTAAGGAATAGAGGAAATTGCCGGAGAAACTGGAGACTTTTACAGTGTTTATTAATGTATAAATCTGGATGATTTTAAAACCTTACATTATTCTCCAAAATCAGACTCTTGTTCAAGTTTCCTGCATGAGAAATATAACCAACATAACACTGTATATACTAATAACAAACTACACTAAAAATAATTAATATTTAATAATATTGATTAAGAGTCAATAAAACAGAAATATAAATAACTATAAATCAGTATGTGTGCAATGTTAAAGTTAAAATTAATGTCTGATAGCTCTTACAGGGAAGGAAAACAAAAATTAAAAAATTTATAATAAATTTGTAAATTCAACTCATTCCCTCTCACAACAGTTACTTTACCCCGCCCTATGCCTAACACTAACATCATGGATTCAACAAATGAAGCCAAGTTAAAAAGTCACAGCAAAATAAACCTCACAGTTGGTTTAGATGAAAAGAAGTTATCCACCAACCCATACTTCCTCTCTTTTAATTACTCTTTTAATCACACACATAACAAGGTGGTGAAACTGAGATCCTCGAAGGACTTAATAATGCGACACAACATTTGTAATGGTACTTAATTATCAGAAAAATCCTGTAATCAAACACATACAAGCCTTTACTTAATCCTATTACTCACTAAGTCAAGTACTCAATTACTTTGACGCTTGGGCTAAATCATTTCCCATGCTCATGGGGGTATTATTATATATATACGAACTCCTTCCCAGATGAAATAAATTTAACTCATAAAATCCTAATAAACCTGATTTTTCTACTGACACTGATTCTCTATATGGCCACACTCTACACAGACTCTAGGGCTCTCACACCTTCAGAAATTCTGCTCCATCATCCTTCAATAAAGTCATAAATAAGAAACACGTGAAAACTTGAACAGCATAAAACATTACTTGGACAACAGGGCTCTATGATTACAAGGAAATTTTTAGAAAGTATAAAAACTGAGAATGAAATAAAATGAATAGAAGGAAAACTTCTCTCCCTTTCCAAAACTACCGAAATGATTTGCCTACCTCTCTCATTCCATCCCTCTCCCTTTATATCTCATGCAGAACCTAACTTTACCACAATGCTTCCCACACTTGTTGTCAAGTATGCTAGCTTAAGTATTGTCGTATAGGATTGCCTAACAAATAATTTAGAACAATAACAAGCAACACGTGTCTCCATTGTTAGACCAATGGCTCTACGTATATATTTTAAGTTCTTAATCTCTCAAATTTTAGTAACAAGAAAGACAATAACTAATACATGGCCTAGTGTTATTAAGACTCGAATAGCACACAAGAAGCTGGAATTAACAGTTCATTATTTCCTTTTCTCTATTCCTTAAACAATGGTCAACTATTTGTTTTACTTTAATACATGGCCTATGTTGCATGGACATGGCTTGAAATTGTTGTGTCCTACTAAGTGTGTAAAAATGCAAGTTTTTCAACTCTTAATTCACACTTAACATGTTTTGATTGAGTAAAGTTTTGAGAAATTTTCTTCATATTTTGCAAAAAACTTAAAAGAGGATCATGATTATGTGTTTGACAAATTTGATGTTGATTGGGTAAATTTTGGGCAGTAAAATTTAGTGTAGAAGGCATCAGAGCAAGGGACCCAGAAATGTGGAGCTGTAGCTCCAGGAGCAGCTCAGAGGCCTGAAGCATTTTGAAGAGAACAAAGGCCAAGTCAGAGAGTTAGCACTGCATCACTAAGTCCGGAACTGCAGCGCCAACTCTCTGGAATGCAGAGTGAAAAATGGGACCCCAGCACTCAAGTCCATGCCCAAGCTCAGAGGCATGTCTTCACTACGAAGGAATTAAGCCTAGCGCTGCAGCGCCAACTCTTTGGAACATAAAGGAAATCTCATCTCCAGTGCTCAGCTTCGCGCCCCACCTCAAGAGAATACTTCAGTGTGAAGGAGCTTCCTATGTTGCAGCGCTGAGTCTGAAGCTGTAGTGTGTTGATCCCGTGGCAAGTGTACCAGAGTCAACTTGTAACAGTGATGAGTAAGGTTATCTCCTCAAGGACTAGGTAGGTTGATTGATTCTCAATTAATTTAGAAAAGCACAAAATAAATACATATTATATATTCACACATGTTCAACATCTGATTCATTAAACTCAAAGTTCAAATTAATAAAACTTAAAATAAGTGACAAATATGCAAATTTAAATAAGTATTAGAGAAATTCAGATATGAGATGCTTGGGACTGGATTTCACCTACTACACCTCTTTGTAATCTTAATAAGCTTACATATGTTAATCCCTCTCCTACAATATTATCTAGGATTACAATCACTCAAATACTAATTCCTTAGTAAAGAGATTCTAAGTTTTCCCTTTTAAATATCAATTCCTTGCATATTTAAATAAGGGAAAACCTGCATTAAGAAAATCCTTTAAAGACTAATGATTTTAGCTCTATTCCTAGCAACTTAAACCATTAGGTGATTCACTTTAAATCATGATCCAGAAAACATTTTCCAATTGAGTTCTAAATCAAAGCTCCAAATACGAGTGATCAAAACGTAAAGGCATTAAGAACGAAAATGAATCACTAATAAGTAGAAGAGATCATAACATATATGTGAAAATCAAGAGTTACATTAAGGTATAAGAGGTTACATATCCAATCCCAAAAGGAAAAGATTAGCTACTCATTTCCATGAGAGCCAACCAACAAAAGAAGAAGAAGAAGAAGAAGAATCTAGTAGAAATTGTCGTCGTTCCGTTCCCAAAACGTCGGAATCACCACCAAAATCTTCAACTTGGATGATCTTCGAGGCTAGAGAGAAAGAGATGGTTCAGGTGTGTTGTTTCTTCCCAAGCTCCCCTCATCTTCTTTCTTTTTTTCCCCTTTTATATGTTATGATTTATAACAAGGGGTCATTTATTGCCGAAAATTGGCTTAAGCTATTTTTGATTGGCTCAAGCCCTTTTTTAAATACTTCACCATGAAGGAATTGAAATGGCTTAAGCCTTTCTGAAATAGCTTAAGCCTTTTTTTTTTAAAATACTTCACCCTGAAGGAATTGAGATAGCTTAAACCTTTCTGGAATGGCTTAAGCCTTTTTTTGGCAGATTGTAATCTTAATTTCTCTGGAATGGCTTAAGCCCTTTTGATATAGCTTAAGCCTTGTTGAGTTGATAGAGATAAACATATTTTCTTCCATGAGTCTTTTTGAACTTCATTTCTTCTCCCTGTCTTGATTTCTCTTCTCTTAACCTACAAAGCAAAACCATCATAATTAACCAAAAAATTACTATAATTTGATTGGAATGAATTTCTATAACATAATTTACATATTTATATATAATATTCACATTCTTGGGCAATTTAAAAGGGGAAAAATGAAAGCATGCCAATTTTTACACAATAATATTCATGAAATTCAAGTAAAAATGACAACTAACAACTCCCCCAAACCTAAAACTTTGCTTGCCCTCAAGCAAAAGTCAACTAACTTAAAAACTTAAAACCACTTACAGTATAACATCCTTTTCATCACATAAATCTTGAAGCAAATCAACAACATAATTAGGATGCAAGCTTCAAATTTCATAAAAAGAAAAACAAGGGAATCAAATCTTTCACTTAATCTGGTGCCCACAATACAACAATACTAAAGTCACACAAGGTCAACACAACAAGAATTAGTGAAATTGGCAAATCAGTCAAGCAACCCATTGAGTAAAATCCTTCCAAAAGTGTATCTCTCTCAATTAGGTGAGTGTTTCACTCAATTCATACACTACATCAATGGAAGTCAACATTGATTATCATCTAATCATGTCACATAAGCGTGGATCAATCATGGATCACTAAGGACTTTTACAGGGTTGTGACTTGGCATGGCTTATTAATGAATATTGGTTTTTCTGGATATTCAATCAAAGCACTTAGTGGTATGGAGAGCACAAATGATGTTTCACTTCAAGTTATTACAACTTTTTTTCTCAATACCACTTTTTCTTCTAATTCAATTTTTCAAGTATCTTCTTTTAAAACCACCCTAATCATATATCAAAGAGGAATTTCTCAAATGA